TTGCAAACATTTGGATGTCAGAAATAATGTTCCAATGTCCACTTTTATTGACGTAAAAGTTTTGGCTGCAAAAGTCTCTCTGTAACAAAGAGATTTCTTTCCCAATACTGCAGGGCAAGAAAGACCGGTTTGCGGCACACAATTTATGACCGGGTATTAAGGTCTCAAAACCGGCACAACTCCCCCCTCTCCTCTCCTGTGGGAGAGAAGGGGGTTCTGGCTATCTGTCAGCCATTTGCCACTTTGATCTGGCACCGTTGACCCTCACCAAGGAGAGTCATGACAGTACTTACGAATATAATTTTTTCTACTGCCGTCTGACAAACGAGCAGGCTCATCGCGGATGACTTTGAGGGGGTCATGGCTGAGTGTGTGTGTGTGAAGCCGTTCTCCACCCACCTGTGGTGGCAGGCAGCAGGGAGGGACACTGTGCTGTAGCGCGCCAGCAGAAACATAATGCCCCAGCGGACACCGGGGTCCTGTTTATTAGACACGAAATGGAAGAAAACAGACCGAAAACAGCCTAGACTCGTCCAAGAAGAAACGCTCGTTTATATTTTCCTGTGATTTTATTCGCTATGGTGTGCCCTAATGAACACAACCCAGACTGGCTTCCTATTACCTCATCCATCTCCGTCTGGCCCTGGCCCGAATGACAAACGAGATTATATCTCCACAGCAACCGGCACTTAACCTCCCTCCCTCCCAAAGGTCACCCCATATTCATGAACGTGTCAGAGTAGAAGTGCTGATCTAGGATCAGTTTAGCCTTTTAGATCATTATGAATAATATACATGGACGAGGGGGGGGGGACCGGATCCTAGATCAAAGCTCTGAAAGGCTTTATGAATATGGACCGAGGCCACCACAAAGACAGAGATAAGGAGGGGAGAGGGAGAGATGGAGGGGAAGGGAAAGAGAGAATGTGTTGGTGTGTAGGAGAGAGACAGAAAGAAAGAGAACAGAAGGAAAGATGGGCGGCACAAGCGTGTGCACCCCCCCACACACACACTTAGTCACCCACCCATTCACCACAGAGGCATAAATCAACGCCTGAAAACACAACCAGACACCTGTTAGATTGACTCTCTCTCTTTGCGGTTGACCGCTTTTCTCCAAAATTATTCTCAACTCCATTCCTTTTGTCAGTAATGGAAAAGCAATAGCAGCAGAGTACAGTGACGGTCTCCTGAGTCTCAATTAAGTGAATGGCCTGCAGTCTAAGAGTGTAATTATTAATCTGATGGCGTCTCCATTGTCCTTTTCTTCCTTATTCAATAATATCAGCTCACAATCACACTTCTTCCCTCTCATACTTACAGTTGCCGGACACACGCACGCACGCACGCACGCACGCACGCACGCACGCACAGACAGACAGACAGACAGACGACAGAAGACAGACAGACAGACAGACAGACAGAGACAGACAGACAGACAGACAGACAGCAGACAGACAGACAGACAGACAGACAGACAGCGACAGACAGACAGACAGACAGACAGACAGACAGACAGACAGACAGACAGACAGACAGACAGACAGACAAGACAGGACAGACAACAGCGACAGACAGACACAGACAGGACAGACAGACGAAGAAGACAGACAGACAGACAGACAGACAGACAGACAGACAGACAGACAGACAGACAGACAGACAGACAGACAGACAGACGAGACAGACAGACAGACAGACAGAAAAGACAGACAGACAGACCCGACAGACGAAGACAGACAGACCAGACAGACAGACAACAGACAGACAGACAGACAGACAGACAACAGACAGACAGACAGACATACAACAACAGACAGACAGACAGACAGACAGACAGACAGACAGACAGACAGACATACAGACAGACAGACATACAGACAGACAGACAGACAGACAGACATACAGACAGACAGACAGACAGACAGACAAGACAGACAGACGACAACAGACAGACAGACATACAGACAGACAGACAGACAGACAGACAGACAGACAGACAGACAGAGACAGACCGACAGACAGACAGACAGACAGACAGACAGACAGACATACAGACAGACAGACAGACAGACAGACGACAGACAGACAACAGACAGACAGACAGACAGACAGACAGACAGACAGACAGACGACAGAAGACAGACAGACAGACAGACAGACAGACAGACAGACAGACAGACAGACGCCGTACATAAACATAAACACACACTGCCCCAATGCTAATTAGGCATTTGCACATACCAGCTTTCTGGGGGGGGATCTACCTCTTGGTTGTTGTATGCACCGCTGCCCAATGCCTGGTGTCACTAAACCATCACTGCACTGCTTCCTTCACATTCAGGCTGTCATGGAAATGCATGGTCAAGCACGCATGCCTTTATCTTCAACAGGTCAAAGCTGATTGGGTCGTATTTCTATGTAAATCATTAATTCCTCATCCTCAACAAAATTGCTGAAATCGCGCAAACTTGCCAAATCTGTTATCACATGTTTATGTACAGTACATTTTAAATAAAAACAAAAAAGCTAATTGCTGAGTGGTAACACTTTACTTAAAGCATCCAGGTATAATGCTTTCTAAGTTGTTATAAGCATGTACAAGCCTTTATAATGTCTTATAACAAGGCTTAAGTCCTATTTGGACGAGATTCGTTTTACTGGGGGAGCTCAGGTAATGTAATTACGTGCACGAGCACAAATGACCACATCCGTAATTTTAGTCCCGTCTGAATCTGCTATGTCAGTCATTTTTACTTGGCAGGAAGGTTATTATCCCAGGACTTGAGGCCGATACGTAAAGCTTAATGAACAGCAGTGATACTAACAAGAGCAGTGATACTAACAAGAGCAGTGATACTAACAAGAGCAGTGATACTAACAAGAGCAGTGATTCTAACAAGAGCAGTGTGCGGGTTTCTTCTTTTTTCTCATATTATCCCAGCCCTAAAAACCTACTGTTTTTTGGCAAACTCCGAGGTTCTCTGATAATACTTATCTTGTGCGAATCATCATCCCTGTGTTTTGAGGGATATTGCAGAGTTTAACAGTTGCTGCATGCAGATTGGCTAAGAATATGGGAGCAAATGTATGCTTAAAACCAAGTGCTATGCAGGCAAGGGCGTAACTTTATGTTGCATATTGGGGGGTGGGGGGGGGGTTAATAGGTTCCCTCTAGGGGGGTCCGGTGGCATGTATTTGTATTTGTATGTATTATGGATCCCCATTAGATGCTACCTTCCTGGGGTCCAGCAAAATTAAGGCAGTTCATACAATTTTAAAAACATTACAATACATTCACAGATTTTACAACACACTGTGTGCCCTCAGGCCCCTACTCCACCATTACCACATATCTGCAGTACAGAAATCCATGTGTACGTGTGTGTATAGTGCGTATGTTATCGTGTGTATACATGTGTCTGTGCCTATGTCTGTGTTCCTTCACAGTCCCTGCTGTTCCATAAGGTGTTTTTTTATCTGTTCTTTAAAAATCTAATTTTACTACTTGCATCAGTTACTTGATGTGGAATAGAGTTCCATGTAGTCATGGCTCTATGTAGTACTGTGCACCTCCCATAGTCTGTTCTGGACTTGGGGACTGTGAAGAGACCTCTGGTGGCATGTCTTGTGGGGTATGCATGGGTGACCGAGCTGTGCGCCAGTAGCTCAAACAGACAGCTCGGTGCACCCAACATGTCAACACCTCTCATAAACACAAGTCGCGATGAAGTCAATCTCTCCTCCACTTTGAGCCAGGAGAGATCGACATGCATATTATTAATATTAGCTCTCTGTGTACATCCAAGGGCCAGCCGTGCTGCACTGTTCTGCGCTAATTGCACTTTTTTGTGGCACCTGACCACACGACTGAACAGTAGTCCAGGTGTGACAAAACTAAGGCCTGTAGGACCTGCCTTGTTGATAGTGCTGTTAAGAAGGTAGAGCAGCACTTTATTATGGACATACTTCTCCCCATCTTAGCTACTGTTGTATCAATATGTTTTGGTCCAATCATAAAATGAGGAACTGAGGAGTACTGTGGTGCAAAGCCACATAAAGCCAGTAGCTGTCTGGCACTTTACAGTGCAGATTGATTGATTGGAAAAACAAACTCATCATGGTATATTTTTTTGGGGGGTCAAATTGACCGTCCACCGGCAAGTTACGCGCCTAACGCACGTAGCCTACAGATTCATTATCTGTTTTGTCACATATTAACTTTTCCAGTGCCTATTTCTCTTTTAAAAGATTAAGAGGACGATATTGTGCCAATTAATTGATAAAACACCAAATACGTCAGTTAATTAAATGTCTGCATAGACTACAATTCATGGTTCTTATTGATATGCATTATTATTTTGACTTTCTCAGAACTGTAGGCCATTAGGCCAATATTAGGCTATCCCTAGACAAGCTGAAATATCTTTATGCCTAGAACATTACATTTTGAATGATAATTCTTTTTTCTACAGGGGTCAGTTTGGTAAAACTAATCCTGTTCGAATGGTCCACTGGAAAAACTGACATGCTGGGGTAATAATTTCATAACCGACGTATAAATACTAGTCCTGAACTAATAGGGCTTTAGACCTATAATATGGTACACACATCCAGTAACTTGAAGGTGTCATGAAATGTATGCACTCACTAACTGTAAGTCGCTCTGGATAAGAGCGTCTGCTAAATGACAAAAAAATATATACCCGCACATTCATTCATTCAACACAACTGAGTGGACCAGTAAAGTCTGCTTTGATACTTTACCTAAACACCAGACTGAGTTCTAAGCTTGAAGGATGCCTCCTCCACAAAGGACCATGGCAGTGTACTTCAACTCTACTGAGAGTGTTATAGATAGGTGTTGATTTATCCTAATGATGCCTCTGGTGAAATGAGCTCTCCTCTGTTTACACCTTAATCACCAGGTAATGGGTATGTGTGTGTGTTATAGCTAAGAAAGAGTGTGCATCTCTTGTTTAAGATCATACAGACATGTCTCACGCACACCCCTCCCCACCCACAGACACACTTACTTTAGACCACAGGGACTCTCTGGAGGCCAGGCTGGAGCACGCCGCCACAAACCAGCAGTTTCCCAGCTGGCCCTGGTGCAGGTCGTGCGCACTGATCCCATCCACAAACAGGTGAGGGTCCTCAGAGAGCTCCTACACAGAGAGAAGAGAAGGAGGGAGAGTGAGAGAGAAGGAGAGAGAGGGAAGCAGGGGGAGGCAGGGGAGAGGGAACGGGAGTGAGGGAGAGAGGGTTAGAAAGGTTACATGAGGCCTAGGGACCCCCAAAAACGTGAGGTTCGTCAGTGCGAAAGGGGGAATGATAAAAATGAGAAGATGAAGACAGAGAGAGACTGTGAGAGAAGGAGAAAAAAGAGAGAGAAATATGGATAGACGGAGAGAAAAAGAGAGAGGGAAAATAAGAGAGAAAGGGAGGGAGAAAGAAAGAGAGAAGACAGATGGATAGAGTGAGTTGCCAGGCCAGGCATGGCCGGGACTCTTTAATTACGGCTCCTAATCGATGGGAATTTAGATGAGGCTCTGCGGAACACTCCACTTCTATCCATCACACACACACACACACACACACACACACACACAAAACATGCCTCTACTGACAGACAGGAGAGAGGGGGAGGGGGAAAGAAAGAGGGCGAGAGAAAGAGAGAGACGGAGTGAGAGAAGAGAGAGAGAAGAGAGAGAGGAGATAGAGTTCCAGTGAGTGAGCAGAATGAGGTTGAGAGAGTAAGAAAGGATAGAGACAGAGACAGACAGAGGGAAAGAGAGCGAGAGAGGAGAGAGAGCACCCAGACCCTCATTAGTCTGTCTCAGGTGTCTCAGATCTGAGAGGTGTTGTGGTGATTTATGTGGCGACACAAGATGATCTACAAGCCGTGCTAACCTGAGCCCCACCGGAACAACCCTTTCACACCAGACACAGAAAAACCAACAACACACAGACAGCACTAAAACTACCCCACATAGGGCTACAACTACCCCAGACCTAGAACACACAGACAGACAGCACTAAAACTAACCCAAGGTACCAGACTGGTTCTGCTTTAGCTGTGATAACATAACGGTTGCATGGTTGAAGAGCAGACCATTAAGCCATATTGCTAACTATTAACTAGAAAATACTGTAGCTTTCTTAATTTGGGTCCTGGAATCCAGGCAAATACAGGAGTGGGCTAAAGCAGAGAAGACCTGAGTATCGACATGCAGACTACAAAAATTCCTTAGAGGATCCCAATAATGATCTGCAGTCAATAGTGATAGGTGGGAGACTGCAGGAATGATGTGGTGGGATATCTTTGAGGCTGCGTCCGAAATGGCACCCTATTCCCTATATAGTGCACTACTTTTGACCAGGCCCCATAGAGCTCTCGTCTGCCTTAGTGCACTATATAGGGGACAGGGTGCCTTTCAGACACACCCGAGTCTATGTGGACACTGATAAGTGTGACGTGTGTATTATTATCTACCTCTCCCTTCGGGTGGGACGTGTGGTTTCTCACCCTCCAGGTGTGAGGCAATTGTTATTTTCAGCCGGTGTGTTTGTGTGTGTGTGTGTCTGTAGGGATTTTCCCCACCAACAATGTGCAAACAGATCCCTGGTGCCGTGCTTCTGACATCCTGCTCCATCTCCTAGCATCCCTCTCCCTCTCTTTCTCCCCCAATCCTCCCCCTCCCTCTCCCTCTGCCTCCCTCTTCTCCCCGCTCTCTGTCTCTAGTGTCTTACCCCCTCCCCTTCGCTCCCTCCATCCCTCTCTCCTGTGGGGTGTGATAATGAAAGCAGGCAATGGACCGATGTCTGATTGTAGGGCAACAGTGATGTCAACATTGGCTTCTGTCGTGACGTGACTTACTTTAAATGTATGACTGTTATTTATCGAACCACCTAACTATGTTTAATTGTCACTTGATTAAATTAATCATGTAACAATTAACTCATTCGGAATTTGGGGCACCACGGAAGAAGTTGTTTAACGAGTTACAATCTCCCGAATTAAACTCTTAGAAGATATGTTATATATAATCAATAACAGTCACGTATTAAATAATGACCTCTTATCAGTCTCATTCTGAACGTCGCATAATCCTTGAACCTGCAAAAACCCTAACCTTATTGATGAATCAGCAATACACAAATTGGCTTAATTATTTATTAACTAACTAAATACTAACACAATACAAACACACACACACACACACACACACACACACACACACACACACACACACACACACACACACACACACACAGGTTATTGATTACTAACATAATACAATGAAAACAGGTCCCTAGTGAACTGGACTAACATTAGCATGAATGAAGGAGGGTCAGAGTGGAATGGAGAGACTATCGTAGTTACTTTGGAAAGGGATTGTCCTTCCCACTTTGTGTCTTTAGTGAAAGTTCTCTAGACGACTATACATGCCAGCTGCAGACTGAGGTGATAAGGTCTAGTGCATTGTCCTTTTCGTCACCTCGTGTAGAGGTTGAGAGTTTCAGAGTTTCTCAATTTCAAACGTGTGGACTAACGTCTCACGTTTTCTGGTCTTTCTAGTCTAACCATTTTGTAACGTGTAGCTTCAGCTTCACGCTTCTTGGTCTTGTAGAGTGTCAACCATTTAAAGCCATGGGGCTTACTGGTCTGGTAGAAATTCAACCATTTGCAACGTTTGGCTCACGCTTCACGTCTGCTGGTCTGAGGTGAATTTCGTCACAACGCTTTTTATACACTCGGGGTAAAAAGGGGCGTTCCATCATTTTTGTGCTCATCTGGGCGTGGCCACTGACTGAGAACAAATCAATATGGAAAACAATAATCTCATCTAGAATGCCAAAATCACATTGTTATCTTCACAAAAGTATTATCATACTTAATCATTCATTTTATACAACAAATAGATGCAAACCTCATAACTGGGAAGTGTACCCCCCCAGAGATACAGTTATGTTATCCCACAGTCTTTAATGACATCACAACATAGTAACGAAATTGACATGATTGTTCTTTAAGTCCCCACCAACCATTTCCCACATACTTTTAAGTGGGAATGTTGTTTCATTACCCACTTTTGGATGTTGGAGTTTTGGCAGGAAGACTTCCTTTGTTAACAAAGGGGTCCTTTCTCCCAATACTTCATGGCAAGGAAGAGAAAGTCTCTGCAAGGAATTTACGAATGGTCATAATACTGGCCCCCAGGAAAGGGGGTGTTCAAAACCTTTGCCTAGCAGGAATCTTTGATCCTCAGCCCAAGAGGGCAAGTCATGACACTTCTCTGTCCAATAGATCTGTCCACAGCCCACTGATAGATTGCATTGAGTGCCAGGGAGGTGACCGCCTCACCGCCCCAACTGGGGGAAAATACTAAAAGTTAACACTCCATAGACCTTATTCACATAAACAGTCATATCTGACAATGACAGAAATATCACTATGACAATGTGCTAGCAATGTTATTCTGAGTATCCCAATTGAATAATATTGTAATAATATTATTAATGGGCGATTCCAGCGTTATGGATGTTACATTTGCAAAATCACATTTGCACTCAAACTTTGTCTCACAGAATGGACAAACAAAATAGAAATGAAACTTTTGATGTGTGTGTCTATAGTACCCCTTGGGGGGAGTGGATACTCCCCAAAAAATATATTGGCATATTGTAGAAATAAAGCAAATAAAAAGCGTTCTGGATTTTACATGAAATTGACAAGCTTTTTGGGTAGACTGAACATATTAGCAAAAGTCTGTGAGATGTCATTCTTACGTCTAAACATGGATAGCCATTTTGAAGAAAAGGCTGAACACAAAAACTATCAATTTGAAAAGATTGTAATTTCCATTATTACTTTAGAGAGCAAAACCCTCCGTTATGGATGCTACAGAGTCTGAAATAGACATTTAAATCATAAAGATGTCTTGATGAAAATCTATCATAACACATTTGTTGTCATTTGGAATGCTTTTAAAATGTCAGCAGAAGGCATAGTACTTTAGGATTGCATCATCCCAGGTAGGCTGAATAGTATACACAGCCAGGCACCACACCCTAATAGATACTTTATCTTTATATATACACCGAGTATACCAAACATTAGGAACACCTTCCTAATATTGCGACGAGGCCATGTATTTTCATGCTGAAACATGAGGTGATCGCGGCGGATGAATGGCACGACAATGGGCCTCAGGATCTCGTCACGGTATCTCTGTGTATTCAAATTGCCATTGATAAAATGTTATTGTTTTCATTGTCTGTAGTTTATGCCTGCCCATACCATAACCCCACCGCCACCATGGGGCACTCTGTTCACAACGTTGACATCAGCAAACCGCTCACCCACACGTGGTCTGCGGTTGTGAGGCTGGTTGGACGTACAGCCAAATTCTCTAAAATGACATTGGAGGCGGCTTATGGTAGAGTATTGAACATTATATTATCTGGAAACAGCTCTGGTGGACATTACTGCAGTCAGCATACCAATCACAAGCTCCTTCAAAACTTGAGACATATGTGGCATTGTGTTGTGTGACAAAACTGCACATTTTAGAGTGGCCTTTTATTGTCCCCAGCACAAGGTGCACCTGTATAATGATCATGCTGTTTAATCAGATTCTTGATATGCCACACCTGTCAGGTGGATGGATTATCTTGGCAAAGGAGAAATGCTCACTAACAGGGAAGTAAACAAATTTGTGCACAACATTTGAGAGAAATAAGCTTTTTGTGCATATGGAACATTTCTGTGATCTTTTATTTCAACTCATGAAACATGGGACGAACACTTTACATGTTGCATTTATATTTTTGTTCAGTGTAGTACTGCCATATATGACATAAGCATTTCAGCATATATTTTCCAAGAGAATCTTAGCTAGAGCGCCTAATTTTCAAGAAATCAACAATTGCATCAGTAAAGGTCTGAAGAATACACCTCAAAACAAGCACACAAAATGTGGTGAATGCATCCGTTATGGATGTTACGGATATCATAATGCTGACAATGAAAAGAGAGAAACCAATTACAGAACCTTGATGAAAGTTAGCTTTACAGAGAAAGTTTCAAGATGATCTGATGTAAGGTGCATGTTTTACAAAAACGTTTAATAAAAAACGTTATGGATGTTACATTGCCTGTCCCAGTCACCCCCCTATCTTTACAAGACTGTAGATCAATACAGCTCAATACCGCTGTACTGAAATGGGTTTAGATGATGTCGTAAATACAGTTCAATGTTGATGTGAGGCCATGTGGTGAGAGATGGATGGAGAAATGGACTGAAGATGAGAGCGAGAGAGAGAGAGGGGGAGAAAGAGAGAATGTATGTGAAAAAGTGTGTGCGCAGTACATGCATGTATGCATGTGTGCACGTGTGTGTCTGTGTCCACAACACGCCCAAGGTCAGTAATTTGCTGATGCAGACCAAAGCAGGTTGCTGCAAAAGCCAACTTTTCATCAGTGGAGAGGAGAACCCCACCACTGCACTGCACTGCCACTGCAGAGTCCCATGGAGACCTCTCCACCATCCCTCTCACCCTAGCACCGCTCCTATTACTCAAACGCCACTATGGAAGTAATAACCATTAGATGCACATTTTCTCCTTTCTTCCGCTGCCATAAAAATATAATGAATAGAACGGGCGTCCCCATTCAAGTCAATGACGCCATAATGGGTGGACTGGCGGCCATTGCGAGTGTACCCATAGGAGCAAAGCAGGAAGTAAAAACTGGACGTGTACCCATCAATATGTGCTGTGATTTGTTGATTCAACTGACATTATAAAAAATACATTCCATTGCATGAGCCACCCCAGCTAGCACATTTGGTTCTTTGGAAGTTGTGGGGAACATACATTTTTGGTTATCCATTGGTTCAGGGAACGAAACCATACGTTTTCTGACCGGTAAAATATATATATTTTTTTTAGTTTTGAGAACGGAAGTGAAAATGATGCATGTTCTGGGAATGTACATTTTTTGGTTGCAGGGAGGTTCTGAAACCGTTTTACTATGATTCCCTGAAAGTTTTCTGCTAGCTTATTTTGGGTTAACTGTTTTGAACTCCAAGCACAGATAGGACACATGGAAATTCATTTGCTTAGGCATTAATCATGCAAACACTTTTTTTTTTAATAAACTGAGTGGTTCGAGCTCTAAATGCTGATTGACTGACAACCATGGTATATCAGACCTTATACCACAGGTATGACAAAACATTTATTTTTACTGCTCTAATGACGTTGGTAACCAGTTTATAATAGCAATAAGGCACCTTGGGGGTTTGTGGTACATTTCCAATATACAACGCCTAAGGGCTGTATGTTGCGTCTTGTCTTAGAACAGCCCTTAGCAGTGGTATATTGGCCATATACAACACCCCTTAGGCCTTATTGCTTAATTGTGGCACGGCGTCACTGAGGTTCGAACATATGATCTTCTGTTCTCTATCCATGGAATTAGTCCACTGCACCACCAGGATGCTTTTTTTTCAACCCATACAAAGCTGTTCATTTCAGTCTATTCAAACGAACCATTTCAAAGAAAACAAGCACTCATTAAGATCAGGTGTGGCCAATTAGTGGGCGCGGCCAACACACGGAATGTATATATCTTTAATAACATTCTTAGAACATTCTCTGAACATTACACAACAATTTAAGACCATGACTTTAAATAGAACCATGAGGAAACCTGAAGGAAACGTTATGCTGAAGTACGGTACTGAAATTCGCACAGAAGAACGTTGTTGCTTAACATTCTCTGAACTATTTGAGAACATTCCCAATGTTAAACCAGTTGAAGAACGTTCCTAGAACATTACAAACAATTAAATTAAAATGTAACCATGTTTGAACTTTTAGGAAACGTTCTGTTAAAGTAATAAAGTAATGATTTTTTGTCAAGTTCCTTAAATGTGCTGAGAATGTTCCAAAGTCAAGCAACTATCCTGAACCCTTCCCAGAAAGTTGTGGGATGATTGTATGCAAAATAACCATATGACAACCACGCTCTCACCAAGCTCTAAGAAACATATGGTTCTCAGAACGTTATGTGCTAGCTGGAACAGGCCATTTTACAGAGTAAAGTGTTCACTTCCAATATTCACTCCCAATATCTGTTGGGTGGATTGGCCCGGCTGTAAAGAAAATAGCCTACTGATCTGTCTGTCTCCCTACAGGGTAAAAAATAATGGTGTCATGGCTAATACTGGCGGTGGCTAACCAAATAATTGACCTTGTACTGAAGAGCTGCCACACCGCTTCATAGTACCTCTGTGACCAAATCAGTCGCCGCCCAACCGCCAGAGTTGTAGCACCAGGTTAGTCGATGACGGTCAGACAAGACCAATCAAACTGCCACAACGATCAGGGAGCTCATTTAGCCCAGATAGGTTTGGCTTGGGAGGACAGCGAAGCGAGCCCAGATAAATGGGTTCTGTCTTTTTATTGCTCGTCAGTCATGCCATAGACACAACTAATCTGTAGGCCAGAGAGTGGATGTAGTAGGGAGAGAAGGCTGAGAGGGATGGCAGTAGAGAGAGCCGAGAGAGAGAAAGAGACAAGAGCGAAAGAGACAAGAGAGAGAGAGACAAGAGTGAGAGAGCCGAGAGCAAAAGAGCCGGTCGAGAGAGAAGGGAGAGAGAGAGGAGCATTTTATAGAGGCCTCTTATTTATGCCTGCATGCTCTGCTGTCTTGACTTGTGGCCATAAACATACCCAAGTGCCGTTTAAAAAAGCGTAGCACTAAATGCTGTTTTACTCCAATATATTTTTTTCTGACATACTTTTTTATTTAGTTTCGTCATTTTTCTTCGGGGGGGGGGGGGGGGGGGGGGGGGGGGGGGGTTATAGGTACAAAAACAATCAAAGAAATGCAGACAAAGATAACCCCAACCCAACCACAACCCATCCCACCCAGCAACCAAAGGTGCTTATCAGTCGCCCTCCCAGCATCCATCCCCTGAGTCTCCCCTTACATTCCCCCAAAACCCCCCCGCCCTCCCAATCCCCTAGCCTTCCCCATGCTAGCAGATACCCATAGACTTCCAGTCATTGCGCTAACGATAGTTAACGTTGGCTTGTGAAACTACCTTTAACTTCCTTCTTACTGGACACTGAGACATAAAAATGGTATCCACAAGTTCATCTGACTCTGGGGAAGTTCATCTCACTCATTGCCAAAAGTCTGTGAACAAACTTAAAATGTATAAGTTGATGGTTCGGATGTGTACTCTAATAACAAAATCACTGTTTTTACCCACCTCTTCTCACTATCTGTTACACATTAAAACCGTGAAATTACAACTGCAACTGCCTGAAATATTGGGGAAGCATATTTCAGACCATTAGCATCTTGCCTGAATAACTGAAATACCTGAATACTGAAATACCTCAACTAAAATTGCCTGAAATAACGAGAAACAAAGAAAAGCATCAAAACCATGAAAAGAAAAACAACCACCATAAAAGAGAGAAAAAAGAGTGAGGAAAAAAGAGTGAGAAATGCGTGATGACAACGAAGGAAGATTGCGAGTGGAATGGCTACTGTTATGGCTAATGGATGCCGTGCCGCACCACACTTCCCATTTCTAGCTGCTCCAAGACTCTGGAATAAGCGGCGCTCTGGGCGGGAAGAGAAGAGAAGAGGGGGGAGAAGGGTTTGGGAAGGAGGAGAGAGGGAGGGATAATTGACTTGGACACTTCCTAACACTTTGTCTGGCCTTAGGCACCAGCCATTAGCCGCTACAAGACGGTGCTTCTCTTTAGCATATTGATTGTCATATTTCAGCGACTATCTTCTCCTTCTTTTTTTTATTTATATTTTTTCTTCACAGTTTTAGTCTGTGGTTTCACACAGGAAGTGAGGGTGTGTTAAGCTGTTAAAAATGAGCGTGAGCTAAACACACTAATGTGCAATGCATTGGAAAGGTCTTTATTCACTGTATATGTCCAAAAAACATTCCTTACCCCAGGGTACTTCAACTTGTGACTCCGGGAGAATAAAGAAAAAGGAGCACTCTGTATCTGTGTAAATCTGATAGATTTATTGATGGGACAAACAAACAAAAGGCTTACGTTTCGGCATAAATCGCCTTCATCAAAACCTTGAGTAGGTCCCTGTCCAAATCAGAGCCTTGAATATGTCCCTTTCCAAATAAAACGTGAATGAAATTAGAAAAATGAAATTTCCTAAAAAATCTGTCTTAAAAAGCATTTTTATAGTAGTGTAAGAAGTAGTAATAGTAGTGTGTGATAGCCAGAAAGCTCCCTCCCCTGGGGTCTCTTCCAGTGCACGCGTCCAATCCTGTTGCCCTTGAATATGTCCCTTTCCAAATAAAGCATGAATGAAATTATAAAAAAATAAATTTCCCAAACAATCTGTCTTAAAAATTGTTGTAGTAGTATTAGTAGTAGTAGTAGTAGTAGTAGTAGTAGCAGTAGTAGTAGTAGGCCAGAAAGCTCCCTCACCTGGGGTCTCTTCCAGTGCACGCGTCCAATCCTATTGCCCTGGTAGAAGAGGGTGTCGTCCAAGGCTGGGAAGTGTGGGTCTTCGAACAGAAGGCCGCTGGCAAGGCACTGCCTCTTCAGGGTGGAGTACTGCTGCCCCTCGAAAGCCTTCACTGACGAGAACATCCTACAGCCTGTAGGGACCAGACACAGGAGACAGGGGGCTCTGTTAGTGACCTGGAACTGGCCTCCTACCAACAGGTCTCTGATATTCTTGAAGATTAGCATGTGTTAGTGTTATTACATTTTACCTTATTTGGGTAGGCTACACTATGGACAAATACTATTGGACATTCAGTTTAGAATTGGGTGTTTCTACCAAATGTCTGTAGTTGGAAAATGTGTATCCAACTTAAGAGCAAACTAAAAGTCAAATACAATTTAGCCTACTATACAGTGCATTTGGAAAGTATTCAGACCCCTTGACTTTTCCAACATATTGTTACGTTACAGCCTTATTCTAAAATGGATTAAATTGCTTCCCCCCCCCTCAATCTACACACAAAAGCCCATAATGACAAAGCAAAAAAATATGTTTAGAAATGTTTGCAAAAGTATTAAAAATAAAAAATGGAAATAATACATTTACATAAGTATTCAGACCCTTTACTCAGTACTTTCTTGGAGCACCTTTGGCAGCGATTACAGATTTGAGTCTTCTTGGGGATGAAGCTATAAGCTTGGCACACCTGTATGAGGAGTTTCTCCCATTCTTCTCTGCAGATCCTCTCAAGCTCTGTCAGGTTGGATGGAGAGCGTCGCTGCACAGCTATTTTCAGGTCTCTCCAGAGATGTTCAAATCGGGTTCAAGTCCGGGCTCTGGCTGGGCCACTCAAGGACATTCAGAGACTTGTCCCAAAGCCAATCCTGCATTGTCTTGGCTGTGTGCTTAGGGTCGTTGTCCTGTTGGAAGGTGAACCTTTGCCCAAGTCTGAGGTCCTGAGCGCTCTGGAGCAGGTTTTCGTCAAGGATCTCTCTGTACTTTGCTCCATTCATCTTTTCCTCGATCCTGACTAGTCTCCCAGTTCCTGCCGCTGAAAAACATCCCCACAGCATGATTCTGCCACCACCATGCTTCACCGTAGGGATGGTGCCAGGTTTCCTCCAGACGTGACGCTTGGCATTCAGGCCAAAGAGTTCAATCCTGGTTTCATCAGTCCAGAGAATCTTGTTTCTCATGGTCTGAGAGTCCTTTGGGTGCCTTTTGGCAAACTCCAAGCGGGCTGTCGTGCCTTTTACTGAGGGGTGGCTTCTGTCTGGCCACTCTACCATAAAGGCCTGATTAGTGGAGTACTGCAGAGATGGTTGTCCTTCTGGAAGGTTCTCCCATCTCCACAGAGGAACTCTGGAGCTCTGTCAGAGTGACCATCGGGTTCTTGGCCACCTCCCTGACCAAGGCCCTTCTCCCCCAGATTGCTCAGTTTGGCCGGGTGGCCAGCTCTAGGAAGAGTCTTGGTGATTCCAAACATCATCCATTTAAGAATGATGAAGGCCACTGTGGGGACCTTCAATGCTGCAGAAATGTTTTGGTACCCTTCCCCAGATCTATGCCTCGACACAATCCTGTCTCTGTGCTCTAAGGACAATTCCTTCGACCTCATGGCTTGGTTTTTGATCTGACATGCACTGTCAACTGTGGGACCTTATATAGACAGGCGTGTGCCTTTCCAAATCATGTCCAATCAATTGAATTTCCCACAGGTGGATTCCAATCAAGTTGTAGAAACATCAAGGATGATCAGTGGAAACAGGATGCACCTGAACTCAATTTCGAGTCTCATAGCAAAGGGTCTGAATACTTATGCAAATAAGATCTTTTTTTAAAAATATATATGCACACACATACACACAAAGATTTCTAAAAACCTGTTTTCGCTTCGTCATTATGGGGTATTGTGTGTAGATTGATGAGGAAAATGTTTTATTTAATCCATTTTAGAATAAGGCTGTAACGTAACAAAATGTGGAAAAAGTCAAGGGGTCTGAATACTTTCCGAATTAACTGTATATCACAAGCCACAAACGGACTCTCAACCTGACTGACAGACAGCTGTGCCTTAAGCATCATCATAAACAGAGCCCAGAGTTCAACAGAATCATCTTTGCAGATACAAAATAATGGTGTTGGGTAGAAAACATTAACAAATATGAAGACCTTTGAGGTCAATGACTATTGGGAACCATTAGAAACAAAACTTCAGAGACAGACAGACAGACAAACAGACAGACAGAGCAAGAGAGCGAGAGAAACAGAGAGAGAGACAAACCAAGAATTCACAAATGGGACAAACATCCAATTGGGACTTTGTGTACAATGCAAAACCCCAAACAATGCATGCAGAGCAGAATTAGGACTATAACCACAAGTAATCAAAACCAGAAAAGAGCTGTTAAATTTTACAACCACCTAAAAGGAAGCGATGCCCACACATTCCACCACAAAGCCCTCACCTACAGAGAGATGAACCTAGAGAAGAGTCCCCTCAGCCAGCTGGTTCTTTGTTCACAAACACAAACAGACCCCACATAGCCCCAGGACAGCAACACAATTAGATCCAACCAAATGAGAAAGCAAAAATGTAACTATTTAACACACTGGAAAGAATCAACCAAAAAAACAGAGCAAATAGGAATGCCATCTGGCCCTAAACAGAGTACACAGTGGCAGAAATACCTGACCACTGTGACTGACCTAAAATTAAGAAAATCCTTGACTATTGTTGGAAACGGACTAATTGACTTGAGCGCGTTTTAGTATGTTTATAATTATATACTGTAAGTGGCATAGCAGTAGTGATGAACGTGTTATGGGTTAGATGGAATAATTTATGTGCAATGGTATTTGGCCAGCGGGAAAGTAAACAGGGGGCCTATCAATAAGGGTGGGATAGGAACCATGTGTTAGAGCTGATAGATCATAAATTACTGTCCTATAACACTGTCTTATATCTTAATATGTTTATTTCATATTTTCTCAATATGTTTTATATCATTATATTATCTTAATATGTTGTATATCATTATATTATATTAGTATGAATAGATGGCTCATCTCTTAAAATAGAGCAATTATGTAGTGGACTGACTCCCTAACCTCAAGGCCTCTCCTGACTGATAAGAAGACCGGAGAGATACGTGGAGGAGTACCAATGTTCTGGACTCAAGCTGGGACGATAACACCACCTGCCCAGCCAAAGAGATTCATTGTTCATCCTAGACACAGAAGGGGGGGGGGGGGGTCTGTTTGGGAAGGGGGGGAAACTGAGCTGCACATCCTAACCTCCTGCCAAATGTATGACCACATTAGAGATACACATTTCCCACAGATCACACAGACCCACAAAGAATTAGAAAACAAATCAAACATTAATAAACTCAATATCTGTTAGGCGAATTACCACAGTGTGCAATCACAGCAGCAAGATTTGTGGCCCATTGCCATGAGAAAAGGGCAACCAGTGGAGCACAAACAACTTTGTAAATACCACCAACATTTATCTGTTTATTTATCTTCCCTTACTATTCGTACTACAACTATTTGCGCATTGCTAACACTGTATATAGATAATAATATAACACTTGAAATGTGCATCTTGTTTAAACCTTTTTGAGTGCAATATTTACTGTTCAATTCAAAATTGTTTTTATTGTTGTGTTTTCTTCTCGCTTTTGTTTATTGTTAGCTTCACTTGCTTTGGCATGTTTTTCATGCCAATGAAGCCCCTTTGAACTGAATTGAGAGAGAGACAGAGTGAGAGACAGAGAGAGACAGAGAGAGAGAGAGACAGAGCTGTTGAGGGAACAAGCCAATCTCTTTGGAGCCACAAAGTGACGAGCTGTTGATGACCTCGCAATACGATGTGACAGGAGATCAAGAACTCAACAAATCTCCGTCATTATGGACACCAAGCAGGATGTTTTGTTCAAGGTTCATTTGACACTGATTTTCTACTGGCCCGTGATGACACAAAATGGCTGCCAAATTGCCTACAAAGTACACACAGGTCCAACAGGCTTACATAGAATGAGTTGACTAATCAAAAGGCAAATCTATCAAGGCTGGGGTCAATTCGAATTGAAGGCAGTCAATTCAGGAAGTTAATTTATTCACTTTTGTAATTTGAAATAAACTTCTGAAATAAATAGCTTCTACTCCTCAGTTTATTGACAACTCATTGAAAGAATATGGTGTTTTTTCACATTTTGAATTGTTATTTCTATATTTGAATTATTGTTTACTTCCCTGAATTTACTTCAAATTGACCCCAGCCCTGATATCTATTAGCTACACAGCTGGTTTCTTTATCTTTTTAAATCGGCCTTAATCATACAACATCAAAATCTGAAGGCCATTGGGAAATAAACCAATGGGAAGGATTTCCTGCATGGCAACTAGGTTAAAGAAGACACACTGCTCTTTTGCCATTGGGAAGAGGACATGTAATGAGATCTTATGGAGGGCCAAAATGGGAAGAGGAGGAGTGTGTGTGTGTGAGTGAGGGTAATTAGGCTACTTCTCTTTTTAATCATGTAACATTGTCTCTGTCTGATGTTGACTGTCAGTCTCAAATGTGCCAGGAATAAACAAGAAGAACTTAAATCACAGACAGATCGTTCTCTACAGGATCATGGAAAAGATGGATGGCAGAAGCCTTTTAGAGGCAAACTTTAGACCTAACACACCACACACACTTCAATACCCGCCAGAAATGTACCAGAAACACAAACAGCAAGATAAAATGACACACAATGAGAAGTATGGAAGTAGAATACAGAAGCACATAGACCATACAGTATATTCCCCCCCATCCTTTTGGATTTTAGCCTCAAATTTTGCTCCAGGGTGAAAATTCCCCTAGATAGAGATTTAGGATCAGCTTCCTATCTCCCAATCCTAACCTTAACCATTAGTGGGGAAAATGCTAGGGGGCAACTTTACCCAACTCCTCTAAGCTCAGTCTGACACATAACATCTAGTCTTCTTTCGACTTCTCTTTTCTGACATGGACATGTAATGCAGCAGAAGCACATGAAATAGTCAACATTTAATCAACGGAAATACAGGCCGTTAAAAAAAACGAAATCCTTTACGCGATAAAGAAGTGGTCTTGAATGGTCTCCAGAGACATGAG